TGCAGAATAATGTAGGAATCACCTTAGCATTTTCTCCTCCTGTTTTTAAGACTTTTAAGATTAATTTCTGCTTCTGTACTTTTCCAAAATGTACTTCCCTGTCCTAAGCAGGGGGCTTGGACAATCTATATGAATATGCCTATCGTAACACCTTCTGATTGACGAAGTTTGATTAAAGGTATAAAATCACTGCCCAGGGCGTAGCCCAGGCAGTTCAGATTTTGGTGTGTGAGCACGCTGAACTTGATGCATCAATAAACCTGTTTCTCTCGCACCTTCATGGTCTCGAGTCCTGGTCGTTCGTAAGTAGATTGATCAAGAAAACCTCAATCTGCTGCTACATTTCTGGAGAGCCAGCCAGGAGTCGAGGGGTCTTGGGACCCTCTGGAGCATCCACCCCGGTGTCGGGGCTCGTCCTGTCAGGGGGAACGTCCCTGGCGCCAATGGACCCTTGATCCAAGGGACTTCCCAGCGACGGAGGGCTCCGGCAGCAGCGGTTGGCGATTCCAAGAACCACCGGAGAAGGACCAGAGACCAGGCACCTGAAGCTGGCCAGCATCACAGGAGAGGTGTGAATCTCACAGGCGGCCCTTCAATGGCATGCACCGCCGGGGAGGAAGGGGGCTCTCGCCCAGCACCGCACTCATCGGATTAGCAGAAGTTGAAGAATGGGACTGAGACCGACCGGGTTCGACCAGCCTCCCAGAACCTATGGTCCACATTAATGTTGGAGGCAAAAATACCCCTTCCTTGTGGACACCGGAGCGACGCACTCTGTCCTGACCCAACCCTTGGGCCCCATCTCCTCCCAGTCCATAAACATCCAAGGGGCAACTGGGACCCCGCAACGTCAACCCCTTCTGGAACCCTTGCTGTGTACAACGGGAGGCCGGACGCTAACTCACCAATTTGTCTACATCCCAAGCTGCCCCATTCCACTTATGGGCCGAGACCTTCTTTGCAAACTCCAAGCACAGATATTCTTTGATGAAAAGGGGTCCATGGGGCTGAAGTATGGCAAGGTGCACCTAGAAATGCCGACTGAGGAGGCTTGGAGAATCACGGTGGTCAGGGAGGCCCTGGGAGAAAAATGGAGGGACTTCAACGTTCCTAGTCTGTGGGCAGAAAACAACCCTCCAGGGTTTGCCGCCCACCACGCCCCTATCATAGTTGAGGAGCTCCCAATGAGACCTCCTGTGCGCATCCGCCAGAGGGCGTACCCCCGGTCAATCGTCCAAGCCATTCAACAGGTTATCCAGCTCTATTTGACCCATCAGATACTGGTGACAATAGACTCCCAGTGGAACACCCCAATTCTGCCAATCCCAAAGGGGGATGGACGCTATCGCATGGCCCAAGACCTCCGCGTTGTCAACCAGGCTACTGTCACGATCCATCCCACGGTACCTAATCCTTATGTGCTGCTCGGGCTCATTCCACCTGGGGCGAAGTGGTTTTCTGTCATCGACTTAAAGGATGCTTTCTTTGCCATCCCCATCCACCAGAAAAGCCGCCACTTGTTTGCCTTCGAATGGGAAAGCCCAGTCACAGGCCGGAAGCAGCAATATGCCTGGACCCGCTTGCCCCAAGGCTTTAAAAACTCCCCCACCTTATTTGGGGCTGCGCTGGCCATGGATTTGGAACTCCTAGACATTGCCCCACCCAATGTGGTTCTTCAATACGTAGATGGCTTGTTGGTCACTGGCCAAACGGAGGAAGACTGTCATGCTAACACGGCTGCCCTACTGCTCCTCCTGCAGGAAAAAGGCTACAGAGCCTCCCGGACCAAGGTCCAATTAGTCCAGTTGGAGGTTAGATATTTGGGTTACGACATCCAACAGGGACAAAGGACCTTGGGACATGAAAGGAAGGAGGCCATTTGCCAATTGCCAGCCCCACGGAATAGGAAGGAATTAAGGGGCTTTTTGGGAGCAGCGGGGTTTTGCCGCATTTGGATTCCCAACTTTGCGCTGTTGGCAAAGCCGCTCTATGAAGCCACTAAGGGGAACGAGAAGGAACCACTGTGGTGGGAGAAGGACGAACAGAACAACTTTTTGAAATTGAAACATGCTCTTACACAGGCTCCTAGCTTAGGGCTCCCCGACCTTGAAAAGCCTTTCCAGTTGTTTGTGGACACTGAGCAGAATATGGCTGTTGGGGTACTGACCCAAAAGTTGGGAACATGGTATCGCTGATGACGTACAAGCGCTTAGCCATAACACGTAATAATAGTGCTAAAGCCAGTAGCCTAGAGGTTTGGATAACTAACTCCAACTACCTGGAATCATACCAATGCAGGGCGGGAACAGGTACCACGACCCTCAGCAGAACGGCTATAGTCACCCTCGAAGCACAGGGACGTGGAACGGTGGTCCTGGAACCAATCATGCAACAGGGTAAGAACACCCGACCCACCTGGGCCCCTCGAGGGGGGGGAAGGGTGGCCCACAAGGGAAGGAAAAGGGAGCCCCAAGGGAACCGAGGGCCACACGAACGGCCGTCACCACCACCCCGTTGGAATGCATTAAATGCTTGCAGGGTCCAAAAAAGGACACCCTAAAATTCAAAATGGGAAAACCCAAATCCTGTCGCCAATTTAACCTTCCTAATTGCACCTTTGGTAAAAAGCAACCCCACCTCTATAGCCAATGCAGTGGGTCTGAGGGAGTGGTGTGTTACCTACCCGAAACCCTAGGTGTGGACGAATGTGGCCCATGCCTTACTAAGGCCAGGGTAGGGCCCCGGACGATTGTTACACTGATTTACCACACTCAGGCCCCATCTGATTGCACTCCTCAAAAGCAGACGTGTGTGTCTAATGGCACCATGTACAATTACTGCATTCAGAAAAACCAACTTGTCTGTTATCAGCCAACCACCCCAGTCCGTCTCAAGGTCACTGTCTGGGCCGGCCTGGCCCTACTTGAAAGACCCAAGGAATCCAAGCTCTACCACCTTACCTCGGTAACCGCTTTGAAACAGGGACAGCAGCCCATCACAGTAACGTTTGGTGTCTGTGCTGCCATGGATAGGGTGGCATACAGGGGTTGTGGGAGCCAGGGATGGAGAAAAACTTATCATAAAAATCATAAGTACCTCTGTCCCTGGTCCCGTGCCTTCTGTCAAAGGTGCCCTGAGCCCAGTAGGGATTTGTATCCTCCTTGTACGGATCGTCAGGACCAAGGGAAACAATGTAAAGGGTGGGATTGTGTCTGCCACCATACGGGAGGAGGTTATCCGACCTCCACCCATCTGGGGTGTCCCTATATTTCAAACTTCCGCAGGCTCCCGAATACGAACTCTGTTACTTTTGAAGAGTCCCGCAACCACCCAGCGGAAGAAAGTTATGGGATAGGTATTGACGGAGATGGTTCGGACCCCCTGGCCTACATAACAATCCGAGTGGAGACTTTAAAGGAAGGGGAAGTTAAGTCCTTGGGATGGTCCGTTTACGACAACCTCCGAAAATTGGAAGAACCGCTCCCCCTTAGCTCCAAGGCTGTTAACTTGTTTGTAGAAATGGCTGAGGAGGTGGCCAAAGCCTTAACTGTCAAAAATTGCTTTGTTTGCGGAGGAACAAACATGGGAGAAAAATGGCCGTGGGAGGCACTGGAGGCAGACCCAGAGGTGTATAACAACATGACCCTCGAGGGCAATCTCACAAAACGGATTCAGCACTCTGACATTGTGTGGACCCTCACCACAAATCTGGTAGGGCGAAATTGCTTCTCTCGCAATGGATCCTACCCTGTGGGCCACCTGATTTGTCTAGGGGAATGGGATGCCACCTATTCAAACTGGTCATCTCCCTCTAATATCCGGCCACCCTCCAAATTCAACCTAACACTCCTACAATATCTGAAAAAGCCCCAGACTCCATCTGTCCCGTGGGAAGCCCCGGACAACATGTATTGGATTTGTGGCACGTTGGCCTACGAAGTCCTCCCCAAGGACTGGTCGGGTTCATGTGTCCTTGGATGGATAAAACCCTCTTTCTTTCTGTTGCCCATCCAATCACGACAGGTGCTGGGGGTCCTGGTATATGACTCAGTGGGCCCCTCCCGCCAGAGAAGAGAGGCTGCCACGGCCTTCTCTAACTTTCCCTGTAAGGAACTAGCTGAGTACGAGAAGTCTGACATGTGGAGCTCAGAGCGAATTGTATGCACCTATGGGAGGGCTACCTGGGCAGAGGATGGATCTTGGGGCTACCGGACTCCAATCTACATGATCAACCGGATCATGCGACTGCAGGCAGTTTTGGATTTGGCCGCGGAAAGGATTGATAAATCTTTGAATATCCTCTCCACTGCCACTGACAAACTCCGTACTGCAGTCTACCAAAATCGATTGGCTCTTGACTACCTCTTGGCAAGGGAAGGAGGGGACTGTGGAAAGTTCAACCTGTCCAATTGCTGTCTCCAGATCGATGAAATGGAGTGTTATTAAGCAGCTCACCACAGAAATGAGACAACTCACTCATTTCCCGGGACAGGAATGGAAGGGATTTGATTTAACCTCCACCTTTAACTCATGGTTCCCAAAATTACCAGGGTAGCCCAGGCAGTTCAGATTTTGGTGTGTGAGCATGCTGAACTCGATGCATCAATAAACCTGTTTCTCTCGCGGCTTCGTGGTCTCGAGTCCTGGTCGTTCGTAAGTAGATTGATCAAGAAAACCTCAATCTGCTGTTACATATCCACTGCTGGACGGACTTGGCTCAATGACAAGGAGCATTGGCATCCTGGAAGTAAAAGTCCTTCCCTACAAGTTGCTCAGCTGAAGGAAGCATGGTCTTTTCCAGGATTTCAACATACTGCTTGGAATTCATGATTCCCTGCATGATTTGTATCCGACCAATACCAGAAGCAGCAATACAGCCCCAGATCATCATGTGCAGTGGATGCTTCACAGATAGATTTAGGCAGTACAGCCTAAATTCTTCAGCTGGAAATCTTCTGGCATACTTATTGCACTGATTTCCAGTCAAGTAGAAATTGCTCTCATCACTCAAGATGAC